TGTGTACGTATTTATATGTATTGTTTATATTTTTTTTAACATTTTTTGCTGTTTTCAAATGTATATGCGTAGATGTGCATGGATACAAATGTTGTGTACTGTATTTGCTCTTAGTATGTTGCTCGCATAGTTTGGGTACATATGATGACCTTGCTTTCATTTGTTTGCCTAAAGAACTGCTCATTATACCTCATATTTGTCTTCATTTTTATTCACGATGTTGTCTTCATTTGCTTGCTAAATGGTATTATATTATACACAAAACACAGAAACATAATTTCCATTTAACTCTCACCCCTGCTTCTACATACTTGCTCAAACGTACACACAACCACACGTTCTTTTCCACTTAGCTGAAGGATTGGGTCAAGTTTGGGCACAATGTCTCGTGCTCATTTGGCTTCGGCAATCTAGCATGCAACCGCTATGTACTCGCACCCAAAGTGGACAGGTGGACCACCACATACGAGCCCGTCACCAGCACCTGGCCCGGCGGTGAGCAGAATGTTAAAAAAAGGGCCGTTTCTGCCCTGACCGAGCAAAGAGTCTCGCCAGCAGCCGAAGTGGGTCTCAATACCGACGGTCAGAGTATAGACAAGGAGAGCGGTACATCTAGGGAAGTACCGAACATCAGTCATTCAAGCGGGACTTCAGGGGGGGTGTCAAACCCCATGCATAGAGATGAGGACTCAGTCGGCCCTAAAAACCCGGAGACGGGTGCAGCACACAGCGCGGATAGTTGGGAGAGGGATAAAGGGCAAACTAATACAGGCGAGCATGAGAGCGCTGCTGCTATTGGCCGCGACTCTGACTGTGCGAAGGAGACCCGGACACAGGGTGTATCGATAAGACAGGTACCACAGACCGATAGTAGTACAACCACGGTCAACCACAACAAGCCAGGGTGGGGCGCTAGGGTGGGCTTCCCACCACCACTTAAGCGCCAACACACGGCCGCATTCGCTGGCAATGCGCAGATGTACATGAGAGCACCTGTCCGACAACTACCCAAATTACTACCCAAGCCATTCGTATCTATGCCAGCCCCGGAGCTAGTTAAAGTTGTATACGAAGAAGGAAAATTACCGCCGGGTGCGCCGGTTAAAATGAGGAGAAAGTTTGCGAAACGGCGTCGTAAGAAAAAGTCTGATGAGGAACCCGAGGAAATCTCTGAAGAAAACCCCGAGGAAAAACCTGCTGAAGAGCCTCTGGAGAGTGTAGAGAGTGCGGAGGATGAAGAAATAGATCCCGAGGCAACGGTGACCTTTGGATGTGACTGGGAGGGGTGTACGTACTACAGCGCGACGGCAGAAGAGACGAAAGCACACTACGAACGTCACTATAACAAGGATAAACCGTTCTTATGTGTGTGGGAGGGGTGTGACATGTCCTTTAAGGCCAAGAGTCTGCTCAGAGACCACACGCGCACACACTCGCGCGAACAACCGTTTGCGTGCACTTTTAAGGGCTGCACCAAGACCTTCAGTCACCCCGGCAACCTGCATAAGCATTTCCGAACTCACACCGGAGAGAAGCCGTACCCCTGTAAGCACCCGGGATGCCTCTTCAGCGCTGCCCATATAGGGAACCTAAAGGGTCATATGGCGGTTCATACAAGACAAAAGGACCATATCTGTCCGCATTTTGAGTGTGGTAAGGCTTACGCACACTTCAGCAGCCTGTTCAAGCATATCAAATCAGTCCATGGCGGGATGTCGATATAAAGAACCAAACCCCTAAACCCTAAAAAGGACCATATCTGTCCGCAGTTTGAGTGTGGTAAGGCGTACGCACACTTCAGCAGCCTGTTTAAGCATATCAAATCAGTCCATGGCGGGATATCGATAAAAAAAAAGTATACTTGATAAAAAAGTTATTGGCTATTTTTAACGCCGCCCAAAAGTTACTGGCTATTTTTAACGCTGCCCGAAAATTACTGGCTATTTTAACGCTGCCCAAAAGTTACTGGAAGACACTTTTTAGCCCACCTGCTCTAATTGGTGGCGAAAGCACGCCCGCCCTACCATGCTCATGTATCATTTAGATGTGAAAATGAAATGGAGGAGTATTTGTATATGATTTGAAATTATTTTCCAAGCATGGTTGTACGTGAAGTATGTTCCAAGTATGGTTATATGTGAAGTATGTTCCAAGTATGGTTATATGTGAAGTATGTTCCAAGTACGAATGTATGTTCTATCATGCGTTGCGGTGAACGTGCGAGTCTGTCTGCGGGCGTACATGTCTCCTGATCGTCATCAGGAAAGACACTATGCGAGACAACGGGAGGAGGGGGGGCTGGTAAAGGGGTGTGAAAATTCAACATATTTCTTTCGCAATTCGTGTATGTATGTCCATATAATTAAAGACCAATTGAACGTTTACGTACTTCTGGAGTGCTTCCCCTTTATCGCTCACGGTTGCCATTGCGGGGGACGACACTCAATGCAAACGGAATGCGGTCACCCCCGCGAGCGGACCGTTACTAGTAGATATACATACGAAGAAAACCTACACCTGTCATGCATATGTGACATGCATTATCCGTGTATATATAGCACGAATTGTCCATGCAGATACAACATGTATCAACTATGTCACCAACAACATCTATGGCACACCCCTAAACCCTAAACCGTATTACAACCGGGTCAGGTCCGATGTGTGTATGTGAGTGTGTCATGTTTAATTGGCCTGAAATCTGGACTGTACTAGAGCAGCCCAGCAAGTCGATCTAAAGCGACATTGAATGGATGGAGCGCGGTCAAGAGCTCAACGATCCTTGTCATTAGCTTCGGCGTACCTAAATAGGAATCGTCAATCTTTGCAAACACTGTAAAGCTCTTGTATCTTATTAGGTCGATGTTTGCCATGTCGACGGAGTATCCTGGATGTGGGAGATATAACAAGTGAGGCGTTGTGAGATGCGACTGGTTTGGATACGCTTGAATAGCAGAACCAAAATGAGCCGCGGATCCGATTCGAGGGGCAGAAAATCGGGAATATTGTCAGTTCGAAGCCTTGAAGAGTGGACTACTCGAAGCTACACACATGTGTCTGTGTGCGGAGATACAAACCCCATCGATAGAAGCTACCTACACGCATCTCAACCCAAAACAAAAAGGAGAAGGTCAGTAGATAAACACACATGAGAGCAACAAACAAACCTCGGGGTGTCGATTTCAATCTACTTTTATCGTTATTTTCCAGACCCTCCCCAAATAACTTCTTAAAGCGCGGGCTCTTAAGCACTCCTCTGAGCTCATCTGCGGCACTGTCTGCTAACAGGGCTGTGCGAACGGCCTTCAACTGCGCAATTCAAGGTATGTAACATGTTAAGTATATATGATAAGATGACCCTATGAGCACATCACAGGGTATGTAACAGGTTAAGTACATTTGATAAGATGACCTTATGAGCACGTCACAGGATATGTAACAGGTCAAGTATATATGATAAGATGACCCTATGAGCACATCACAGGATATGTAACAGGTTAAGGATATATGATAAGATAACCCCATGCGCACATCACAGGATATGTAACAGGTTAAGTATATATGATAAGATGAGCCTATGAGCACATCACAGGGTATGAAATAGTTTAAGTATATACGATAGGGTATGTAGCATGTTAAGTATATATGATAATATGACCCTATGAGCACATCACAGGGTATGTAACACGTTAAGTATATATGATAAGGGTATGAAGCATGTTAAGTATATATGATAAGATGACCCTATGAGCACATCACAGGATATGTAACAGGTTAAGTATATATGATACGATGACTCTATGAGCACATCACAGGATATGCAGTATGCCAAGTATATATGATAAGATGACCCTATGAGCACATCACAGGGTATGTAGAATGTCAAGTTTATACGATAAGATGACCCTATGAGCACATCACAGGGTATGTAGAATGTCAAGTTTATACGATAAGGGTATGTAACAGGTGAAGTATTTATAATAAGATGACCCTATGAGCACATCACAGGGTATGTAACAGGTTAAGTATATACGATAAGGGTATGTAGCACTATAAGTATATATGATAAGATGACCCTATGAGCACATCACAGGATATGTAACAGGTTAAGTATATATGATAAGATGACTCTATGAGCATATCACAGGATATGCCTAAGTATATATGATAAGATGACCCTATGAGCACATCACAGGGTATTTAACATGTTAAGTATATATGATAAGATGAACCTATGAGCACATCACAGAGTATGTAGCATGTTAAATATATACGATAAGGGTATGTAGCACGTTAAGTATACACGATAAGATGACCCAATGAGCATTATATATATATATATATATATATCTATATCTTTTTTTATAAGGATATGTTAGCATATATATTCTCACATACCTCTTTCGCGACGGGGTTGTACAGGCCTCCGCCCACCACTGAGTGACCTCCGGGTTGAATTTGTAAATAGTAGCAGCTGCGGATGGACTGCGAATGACACGGATAGCCGCGTAGGTAGGTATAAGAAACAAAGCAAGCAATGAGCTATAGGTGGCCAGCCAGTGAGTGTTGATTGGAGTGAAATCTACTCCATAAACGCCAAAGTAAAGGTAGGTATTGTGATGAGGAGAAATAAAAACTGAAGCGTGAAAATAAACCTCCTGGGTACTGTACCTTCCTCGGATTGATCGAAGGTGCCAATAGAGCAGCAAAGTATTCCTTATAAGGCAACCCTCCAAACCGCGTATCGCGGTATATTCTATATATGCATTGCTGTGCGTTGAGATCTGAGTGCAGACGAGAGCGCAGTCATGGAATGAGGATTAGCTGAACTGAGACAGAATGTGAGACTAATAACAGGTACAGCAATAGGGTGCAAGTCCTGTCAAAAGTCGATTATATCATGTATATATATATATATATACAAATACATACACACACACACACACACACACACACACA